CAAAATAAATAAATTAAAAAATTTGTAATAAATCTCTTATCCGACATTTCAAATGATCATGTGAATTTTTACCATATTTGCATGACATTACGTCACATAGTCATATTAACTATCGGATAACATTAATATTGGGCATACGACAAATACTGTAACAGGAAAATTTTTTCATCATCTGCCAATATTATATACGTATTATAAAACATAAGTTCATTTAAGCTATTGCCATATTGCGATAGAAAATTAGAGTTTAACTGTATTACTACAGTATACAATAAATTTCTTTCATATTTTAAAAATATTAAATCATTCTTTGATTTTGTTTAAACGATTGCTATAAATTATAAGAGTCGTTTAAATTTCAAATCATCGAAAACGGATTAACCATATACGAAATATTATATTATTGTCGTGCCTGAAGTTAGCGCAGTTTTAGGCAGGTGTAACATCAAGCACCTGAAGTTGCAACTTCAGGCACGATATTATCATTACACACTGAACGATAATTGCAATAATGTGCCGATACATCAAGAATGGCTGATTTGTTTCTGATAATTTTGGAAAGATCAGTTTTCATGAAATATCGGCATTGTATTAACAAACCATTTTTATTCCCACTCTAATTTTAATGTTTGACACCATTTAATGGTCATGGATATAAATACCATGCACTTTGATAGATACCAAAAAGTACTGAAATAATTGACGAAAATTGACTTTTTAAATTTACTTTAATATCTTTATTTTACGTATTTATTAATATGAAATACATTTACATGGCAATAAATTTATTGTTATTTATTTTTACGTTCCAAAACCAGTTAATGATTCATGCTCAAGAACAATTAGCAAAATTATGGGATATACAATATGAACAAGTCCCAATGTACTTAGATAGAGAATCAAATTTAAAAAATGTGGATAAAATATTAGGACGATATCTAGACGATTCAAATTTCGCTGGAACTTATATTGATGTAAAAAATAATTCTGTAATAATTTATACAGTAAATATGAATAAGAAGAATGATATAATTTCTAAACCTGATGTGAGAGAATATGAAAGGCTTTTGGACTTTAGACAAGTAAGGAAATCTTTGGCTCGTTTAAAATCCTCGTTTAACGAATTAGCTACAATAGCTAAGCAGAATAAACCAAAAGGCATATTCACTAGCATTCAGCCAAGATTCAATAACATCGTTGTAATTGTATCTCGGCCACCTGGTCAACATTCTCGAGCTTTTATAGGAACTGCCAAGCGACTTGGTGCGGATATATATTCTTCTTTTCACGATACTGCACCACTTACTAATAGGGGCCTAGGCAAAAGGAATGTGAGATCCTTGTTATTATCTGGAGATGGTATTGATAATGCAGTCGATCAATTAACGTGTTCAGCAGGTTTTTGGGCAAAAAATCGAACTAAAAGACAAACATTTCTTGTAACTGCAGGACATTGTTATGGGACACTTGAAAGTAAATCTAAAAAAAAATTTTTTTCCATTGGTGATAATCCCGTTTTAATTGGTAAATTGGCATATCATTCTGAATATCCATACGATATTGGTTTAATTGATATAAAGAGAATGAATAAAAACCTTCGACCATCAACGAATATAAGGAATGATCAAAATGCTTCATATCCTGAATTAACTCTCATTGATGGTCCACCCGTATCTAGCCATGGTGCGCATTTATGCAGGTCTGGTGCCACTTCATTGGTTTCTTGTGGTTACGTAGATGCATTTAATGGGTTTTTTTTAGGTGATGGAAACTTTGAGTCAAACTTAATCTTTATAGACAAGATGTCATCCGTCGGTGGTGAAAGTGGAGGTCCTGTTTATTATTTTTCAGGATTTTCAAATTTGAGATTGGTAACTATAACTGGCATATTGACAGGGGGGTCTAAAACTTCAAGATAATCCTCGTTTTCCTTTTAGTATAGTAGTGACTAAAGAAATAATTCTTGATAGTTTACAATTGGATTTTATTACTAGATTTTAGGTCTATATATTGTCCAAAACTTTTTACATTTAACTAGCACATCACTTGCGCTGATGATTTTATAAACAATTAATAATTTATTAAACTACTATCATTATTACTGTTATCATTACATTATTTTTGTTTATTGCACTTTTGTATCCTTAAAACTTTGTCGCATGTTAATATAGTATAATTAAAGCAATGCGAATAACTAAGAAAAATCTTTCATGAAATTTATTGATTGTATCCGGATCAAGTTATCAGATATTCACGGCTGCCCTGTGTTATTATCAAATCGGGAGTGCATCTAAAATTAATGGTAGAACTAATAATAAAGCGCCAGTGTTTTATAGGACTGGAGCCCTATACGGTTGAGCTACCCAAAACCAATCCTGTCAAATCTGATAAAAAAATGAATCTATTAAGTCTATTTCTTTTATATATTTAATAGTTTATTATATTTTCAAACCCGATAGTCTCTCAATAATTATACAAAACCAGTCCACCATGCATATCAGATTTGGGAAGTCCAACTATATATTAGTTTATTAGTTTTAAACTTCAATAAAAAAAATGGCATAGTTAGTATAATAATTTATAGATTTTCATAATAAGTTATATAAGGCCACACAAAAAGTTGATTTTTCGTTTTGCATTACCGCCGACCCAAATTTTTCAAAACCTTAAGTTTTTTACAATAAGGTCGCACCAAATTAGTTTTCAAAAATTCAATTCAATTTTTATTTATTTTATTTTATTTATTTATTTATTTATTTACAATAACAATTTACTTTAGGCCACGCAAAGTTAATTTTTCGTTTTGCATAACCCGCCGACCCATTTTTTCAATTTTTCAATTTTTTTTTTTTTTTTTTAAAGTCCCAATTGTGCCAATTATTCTATTTTTGCCATTTAATTTTTCTATCAATTTTATCCGCTGACCCAATTTTATGATTCCATGCTATGCAAACGAAAAATTAACTTTGTATAGCATTAGATATGAACATGAGTCTATTAATTTACAATAGATTAAAAAAAAAAAAAAAAGAATCCGTCCGACCGACCCAATTTTTCTGATTCCATGTTATGCAAAACGAAAAATTAACTTTGCGTGGCCTTATCTAACCTTTTAAAAGGAATCCATTCATTTACCTCTTCG